TTTAGACAGAAGAGAGATGAAGTGACAGGAGGTCGGATAAAACTGTATAATGAGGAGCTTCATAACTTGTACTCTTCTCCGAGTATAATTAGAATGATCAAGTCAAGGAGGATGAGATGGGGAGGGCATATAGCTCGAATGGGGGAGGAAATGAATGAGTATAGGATATTGGTGGGAAAGCCAGAAGGAAAGAGACCACAAGGAAAACCAAGGCGTAGGTGGGTGGACAATATTAATATGGATCTTAGAGAGATAGGTTGGGATGATTTGGATTCGACTGATCTGGCTCAGGATAGGGACCAGTGGAGGGCTCTTGTGAACACGGTAATATACCTTCGGATTCCATAAAATGCTGGGAAATTCTTGAGTAGCTGCAAATTTGGCTTCTCCTCAAGAAGGTCTTAGCTCCATAAGACCCTGCTCAGGTCGTCTTAAAAGTGTCGTTTTATATATAGGTTATTGCTATAAACAATATAACAAGCCCTTCCAGGAGTATAATAATACCTCTTTGGGACTGTTCCTGTGCGTGAATATCTTGACGGAACCCGAAATAAAATAAAACTTGCCACCTTAAACAACTTTCCAGTCCTGTAAAATTTTCTTACCTCTTCTGCTCCTGTAAGCTTACATTCTTATTAGGACAAACCTTGGCACAGTTTGGCCTTCATTTTCAGTAGTTTATTTCTGGCATGCAGTGTATTTCAGTTTCAATAGCTTTGGATTTTTAAGTGGAAAAAAGTGAAACAAATTAAAGCTATCTGTAACTGTTTACTGAAACATTTTATGATTTTGAGCGCCAAGAAACCTGAAACTTGTGTGCACTTTATTTTCAGTTTATATTTCTAGCTAAATATAGATATGTACGTGCAATCATGAATTATTGTCCTAACTATTATGAAACGCCTGCTAAATTCTTCCGACATTTCTATGTATAGATGCCGAAAATTTCCTCTGTTAATACAAATATCTGTTAAAATTTTGACTGTGTTTCTCATTTCGTGTATGCTATAAGAGCCACAAACCATCTATCCGAGAACGCCGTTCCCTTAAATCACTTCTTCTTAGAGTCCAAAATCGTAAATGCCTTTACATTTGCCCTTTAGTTTAACAAAACCTTTCAAGTTCAAAGACATTAATTAATTTAAGGTACTTATTTAATTTTTGTTGTAAAGTAAAATGAGATGAAAAACGAGAAGTTTTATGAAAGCTTCTCTGATTTTGATCATATTTAATAGAAACAGAGAAATGCTTTTAGTTGAGCTTATTCTGTTTTATTACAGATAAACAAGTGGCTGTTCATTCATCTTTGAAACAGGATAACGTATAAATACTTTTAGAGGGATCACTGTGCTAACTAAGAAAATCAAGTGGATTTGCGGAAATATAGTCTCTCTGCAGAAGTGAAAGAAGACTGAAAGCGATTTGTACCAAGGAAACGATTTATAATGGAATATAAACTGCTTAAGTTCAAATGATGGGCAGAGGGTTACAACCAGAAGCATGCAAGGCATGTTTTACAAAAATTGAGTGGAAGTGAAAGAAGAGTGCTTTAGAAACCCACATTTATTTGGTAAGAACTTACATTATAAACCAGGTTTGTGCAGCAGTGACCATCTTGGCTGGAATTCGGAAGGTAGGAAGTTTAAGTTAAGATGGAATATCAGCTATCCTTATGGTTGTGTCGTGGGTTTCCTCAGTGGCAAGAGAAGAATTTATGGAGATTTCCTTGAAACGGCTGAACTCCTCTTTCAAAAGCCTTACAACTGACTATTCATGACCATCTTCTCATTTCATTCGACGCTACAAAACATGCGTGACTGAATCAGCTAAGTTAAATAACACAACAATCATTATTATTAATTTTCTATGCCCAGTTTCTACAGACAGGAAACTTCTCTATTAATTGTTTCTTTGTGTTTTGCGTGTCTGTGTATGTAGGAGGAAAAAGAAGAAACAAAAAGTTAAATAAAGAAGGAAAATCGGATAAAAACACATAACTATCCTAACACGACGAGTGTTTATTTTACAGAATATAACACTATATTCTGGTAGACGGATCTCAACAGATATTAGGTCTGCTCTTCACAGTCATCGATGTGACAACCTCAGATCTGTACTAATATGGGCCACAATAAACTTCGCTTTGTGACAACGGTTCGATCACTATAAAGAGACGTTCTATTGTACGTTATCAGGAGTCTGAGATATATTTTATATATAGGTCTACATCGGAAACGTTGTGTACGCTTATATGAAATGAAACTCGGACAGTAGACAGTGTCTAATACAGTAGTTATATGGAAATATCAGTTTCATTTGAAAGATGAATTCTATGTCAGTTTCATGTACAGTTTTCATAAACCGAAAAATCGAGATTAAACTTATTTCCTTTTCTGACTGCAAAACCGCCCGTGTTCGGATGACCAATTACAGCATGGTTTAGCAACTAGTAACCTACCTATCTACCTACCTACCTACCTACCTACCTACCTACCTACCTACCTACCTACCTACCACGCAGTCCTACAGCCCTGGGTGAGCCTTGGCTTCCTCTACAACCATTCTCCACAACCAATACGTGCTGCCATATGAATGAATCCATGCATGATGCCCGAGGCTGGTTGTTTTTACAGGATGAGGTTGATAGCCTCATGCCCAACCCCCAACCTGGAGGACCAGGATATCTCTCTTAGTCTGGACTCTACCCTTTGACCTTTCCGGCATGGATGACCCTACTGGTAGTTAAACTACCGTCGGCATAGCTCTCCAGGTCACAGAGACACGCAAGCCCCACCACCACGACAAGACGGAAAGACATTTGGGGGGGGGGAGGTAGCAACTATTAAACATAGATTTAATTTAAGAGTGATGTGTTGTTGTAGCTTTTACTTATTGAAAGACCTTGTGTCGACTTTACTGATTTTGTAGGGCGGACTAATATTGTTGTTATCAGATAGGAATGTTAGATTCAGCAACAATGGCAGTTTAAGGCCGTCATGTTTTACGAACATAGGAAAATAACCGTAATATTTAGTTAAAACTTATTTCTCGAACTCAGATTCAAATCGGGGATACCACAAGTGCAATGCAGCGTTTCTCTCCAACAGAAAATAACACGTATCTTTCCGAGCATATAGACCTCTCATAATGGACGGCCTGAGTAACGAAGCAGAGTTTACACTTTGCTATTAAGTTGTTTGGAAACTTGGTTATTTGTCGCGGTGCTGGCCATTATAAGCACTACAACAAGTTTGTCTTGTGCTGTTATGATAACAAGGAAGAAGCGTTATCTAAAATTTTCTCAGAAATTTCCACAATTCCATACTCGTATACTCCGTCTTTTCATAAGAGGAAGTCCATAAAATGTGTTATTACAAGGAAGATGGCACACAAGATCTGGAAATTTGTGTCTGTGGTATATTAAGACAAAGATTGTGTTTCTGGACATTATCTATCATCCTGCTTTTATTTAAACACACAACGTTTCGGAGACTGGCTTCTGTCTCCGTCTTCAGGCGTAAGACGGAGACAGAATCCAGTCTCTGAAACGTCGTGTCTTAAATAAAAGCAGGACGATGGATAACAACGTTTCGGAGACTGGATTGTGTCTCCATCTTCAGGTGTAAGACGGAGACAGAATCCAGTCTCCGAAACGTTTTGTGTTTTAAATAATAACAGGACGATAAATAACACAACGTTTGTGACAGTGGACTGTGTCTCCGTCTTCAGGTGTAAGACGGATAAGAATCCAGTCTCCGGAACTTATATTTTAAATAAAAGCAGGACGGTGGATAAAGTCCAGAGAGACAATAATTGTGAGATAGTACACATTATACAAGATATCTTTCATTTCATTTTCACAGGCTTTTAGATTATCATATTTCCTTATAAAACGCCTGAATATTAAACGTCTGAAAGAGAATAGTGTAGATATATCTCAAAACATTTATAAACACATTTTTGTCAGATTGTAACATGAATGTTAGCCGGAATCCTACTCAATGTTTCAGATGTGTAAAGACACGGAAGACGTACGTGATCTAAAGGACATCCGGACTGGCTTAAGGACGAATCTATTGAAATTCAGACAGGAACATAGGCAGGTTTCGCTCGTACGCTATTTTTGGTGCAAACATATAGTCCGAAATATGATAGTAGGCTATTTTTAGGTTAATATGAAGACCGCACGGAAACATATATCCAGAAACACAATTAATTTCAATGCCTTTGGCAATTTACAAAGTGTACCTGCCGTTTGAAGCAAGATATCGAAATAACATTTTGTATCAGTCAGTCCGGAAGTCGTGTTGTTAAGTGTGGTACAAATTTGAAACATGCTGTTGGGGTACATGTGACTGTCAGATGCACGTATATAATAACTTTTTATTCTATGTATTTAGTTAAACTAGATATTAACAAAAGGAGAACATTCAGCAGAAAACTCGGCTGAAATATTTAAACCTAATTGTTTTAAACTGAGAAGACAAAAATATGTTTATAAATGTGAATTTAGGATATATCTACCCTTCCTTGAATATTTATTCAAAAGGTTTTCTCAGTTGTATGTCTAATATCGGACGTCGAACTGAAGTATAATTATAAATTATAAGACGAAGTTTGGAATTTTGAAATATATTTCAAGATAATGTCGCAAAATATTTCTTGAGTGACTGAGGAGGATCATCAAAAGGTTCTATGGTAAGAGAATAAGATTCGAGATTTCTCGAATATGAAACAGGGGAATCGCCACGCTCTGTGTTTCGGAGTTATATGTAAAGGAAATTAAGGAAACGAAGACTTGTCTGACAGGATATTACGCGATGTTTTGCTATAGACGCTTAGTTATGTTTCGGAGGAAATTTCTACTTCCATATTAGTCACCTCTCCAACGTGAAGATCGATGCTGCACCTTGATCCAGAAAGTCTACGAACGTCCAGAAAACTACACGTTATCACATCGCGGAAGACTGCCTCGAGAACCCTAGTCACAACGGCTTTCTCTTGTTTCTAGATTTCTAAGTTAGGAAAGAAATGAAGGCTTCCAGACACTGACGTTTGTTAGTACCGATCGATTCCTTGTGATAATTTGCTTTCCAAGACTACTCTACTAAGCTGCCTGGGATCTTTCCTTCTTTCCCTCAGTCCATTCAGAATATAATTTTAAAATTACCCACCATCGCTTCCTTCCAAATCCCTTTCAGTGTGTCATTCACAGTGGCAATAATCACCGAAGTCGCATGACATGTACAGTTCTTCACAAGAATCTCATGTCACCTCGGAGTTAGTTGATCGATTTTTTAGGGGGTTTATTAAGCGGCCTTGACTGAGTGCTAGGCTATTTCCGTGATTCACCTCAGGCCTCATAGAACAAAGGTAAGATATTATATGATAGTTTATTGAAATAGGCTACGACCACTTCCTTGCAGTGCTTCACAATCTGTCGTTCATATTTTTCTATATATCGGACACAGTACAACACAGGGCAAATGCAACTGTGAAAGAGTTGTTCAGTAAATGAAAATACATTCATTCGTTCTAAATTCATTCATTCATTAATGGCACTACAGCTCTTCGTTGGGAATCTTTTTTACACAGACGGTAGGACTCCTTGGACGATTGCTGAGCTCGACGCAAGGCCGCTACCTACACACAGAACAACACAAACAAACATCCATGCCATGAGTGGGATTCGAACCCATGATCCCAGCTTTCGAGCGAACGAAGACAGTACATGCCTTAGACGCGCTGCTATTTTGATCGGCAAAAATAATACATAGTCATGTAAAATACACAATGACCGCACTGTAAAGGTCCGGCCATACAGAGCGCTACGCTATGTTCGCTACGTACGCTACGTACGCTGTGTACACTCTGCGACGCAGCTAACATAGGGAACATAGCGTACGTAGCGTGCGTCGCTTACGTAGCGCTCTGTGTGCCGAACCTTAAGAGGGTCGTGCCTTTTCGAACGGTTCGAATAATGAGACCTCGGTTACAAACCACGGTCTAGCATATAGGCCTATACGTTATATCACGGATCTGTGTGGATAGAGGCCTTGCCGCAGATCAATCCCGGTTTCGAGGAGCCCTAAAAATGCGTAAACGGCTTACTTATTCTGAATTAATTGAGTCGGAACCTTGAAGCAGTAGAAGAGGAAACATAAAATAAATAATATATTTTAGCTATGATTTATTAACCTCCATTTATCTGGAAATCAGGCCGTGATGGTGGGGACACAAATGCTCCCTGAAATGTCGGTAATATTTATTCAACTGACGCGTCTGGTAGTCCGAGAAGATTCTATCAACTTTAGCCGCGGTGAAAACTTCAGGTCTTACGTCACACGATAAATTAATATGGAGGCATTATTCGGCTCTGAAATTGTGGAATTGGTGTCTGCATTTTTGTTTCCTGTTTGCCGTTGCTTCAGCTGACATTGCTACTCACATGCGTTTTGTTCAAGCTATATGAGGGAAGCTGTTTGATTGCTGAAGAGAGGGAAGCATTGTCAAAGTACGGTACAGGATATGAAGGAAATGGGTCAGATGTTCTCGTACGTATTTACCGCACGTTTCGAATTCAAATTGAATTTCGATCCTTCGATTTGGGACCGGAGGAAATCCCTCGAGCTACCTGGCGCTCTCACTTCCTTCCGTGAATCCGAAAACAGCCGTGTCTGCCATTGTTTTGAAATTCTGCCTACGAGATCCATCTTTTTCGCGTATCACGAGGAAAAGTAAAATGTTATTTCGATATCAAAAACATGTAAACATATCCCACGTGTAAAAACTAACCAGATATTTCCACTTCTTCCCTTACACAGTCCAGCTTAGTTGGATTTATTTACGGCGCTGTATCTAACTACAACTTCTGAATTTTCTAAAGAGAAACTGTGGGTTTTGTATCGGTATACTTGCAAGGAATTGTAGATCACATCTTAGTCGGGGCATAACTAGCAGTAGCGAAGGATATAAGGAAAAGAAGAAGGGTGAAGGATTCATTAATTTGTCTTTATTTAATTTTATGATAATATTAAAAGGCATATGGCTATAGTATGTTGTTAAAGGGAAAATTAAACCTTGTTGCAGAATATTTAAAATTTCAACACCATTGCGACATTTTATTACAGATGAGTTTCAATATTCTCATAATATTAAGGAATTAATAATTTGTTGAACCATTTAAACGCTCTGTATCCATAAGCTTAAGCGAAGTGCGATAGGCCATTTAAAAATGTAAGTTTTGTTACTCTATGTGGTTTAAAAGGTAAGACGTAGTAATGTGACAGTTGTGAATGTAACAAATATACCGCTCACATTTACAGTGGTATGTCATCTGTGAAACATTTCTTCCTTGTTGTTTGTTAC